GGTAGATTTGTGTTCGTTTTGGTAGATTTGTTAATGTTTTCTGGTAGGTATTCTATAGTTGTTGTCGAGTTTGGTAGACATGTGTTTGTTCATGGTAGATTTGTTTTGATGTGTGGTAGATTTGTAAGATTTTAATGTTTTTATTTGTTTGCAGACATGGCTTCAGCTAGCGGCTCAAAGGATTATCCCCAAAGATTGTACCCGGAAGGCAAATCTCCTTTGCTGAAGAAGAGTTGTCATCATAACTGCAAGCTTCATGAGTTCATCATGATGATCAGGGATCACCTTGGGGATGAAATTTACAACGACATCATGAATAATTCTCAAGTTGGCGTGCTACTGAAGCTTGCATTGACTTCGTTCATATGGAGTGCTAAGACGGTTCAGTATTTTGTGAGCAACCAACTGAAGGTTGATAGGAATCATGAGTTATGGACTCTTATTGGAGGTCGCCCGGTTAGATTTTCACTCTTAGAGTATGCTGAAATCACGGGGCTAAACTGTGACCCAATTGATCCCAATGACAAGTTGGAAATAGATCACACCGAATTTTGGGCCGAGATTGGAGTGAGAGGTGGGGAAGGCCCTAATTGGAATGAGTTAGAAGCTCAGATGAAAACTTGCCAAGCATGGACTTATGAGAAGAAGAAGATGTTGACGTTGCTTTTCATTTTGCATGTTGGTGTATTGGGACTTCACCGCAACAGTCGAATCCCATTGGCTTTAGCCAAAACAGTTATGGATGAAGCAGCTTTCGAGAGACAGCCGTGGGGTCGTCATGGATTCCATGAACTAATTTATTCCCTCAAGATTGCTAACTTGGGGGGAGCACGATACACTCTCCACGGATGTGTACAGGCAATGCTTGTTTGGGGTTATGAGTGCATCCCTATATTGGCTGAGAGAGCAGGGAAAATACGCCCCGATGTAGATGACTCGGTTGTTCCTCTTCTTAGGTGGACTTTATCACGGTGTCGTTATGTTTTCGAGACTCTTTTGGAGATGGATAAGAGTGAAACCGATGACCACAAGGTACTTGTACCTTAGCAGCTATTTAGTTGGTAGAGTTTTTTGATAATAGCTTAGTGTTTGGTAGAGTTATTTATTATACAATAATTTTTGGTAGAGTTATTAAATGTGGTAGATATAACATTTGTAGAGTTTTACATTTGTAGAGTTTACATTTTGTAGAGTTTTTACATTTTGGTA